GTCAGAGACAATATGTCTTGAACAAACATGATCACTACTAGCTACTCCACGTTGTCACGTATGTCTAGATCTAATTAATATAAAATTTTATTTATAAAGAAAAATTAGTGTGAAAATGGAGAAAATCTTCATAATATTAATTATATATGTTTTTTTTCTTCAAAAATTTACGGCGCCTCGATTACATAAAAAATCCCTCCAATTTCTCTATTATATAGTATTATTCGATCTAATCTTCACAAAATACAAATATATAAATATCATTATTTATATTATATATAATACTTTATCCTAATCCAATTAATGAATACTTTATAGTAATTCAATATTAAACGTTTATCATATGATTATAGGATTAGGAAAAGTTCCATTTCTTTTGACAACTTTATAAATAATTATTTATATATTATAATTTAAAGTTTTGAGTGTGTCATGTGTTCGCACTATTGACGCATGCAAGGGCAAAACGGTCCGTCGATTTACTGTGCGACAGGGTGTGGGCTTAAATTTTCATTTCCATTTCACATTACAATTTTTTATTACAATTTTTGTTAATTACAAATTATAAATTTATTTGTTTTTTTTTTAATATTTCAACTATTCTTAAACTTTTATTAAATTAACCATATTTTAAATATTTTTATTTAATAGATGATTATTTTTAAAGTTGTATATATTAAAATTTATTAAAAGTTCGAGGGATTTATTATATATTTTTTTAAGTTTAGTAATTATATTAAATACAAAATTCAAATTTTCAAAATTTGATTAAATAATTTTTAAGCTGAAAATCCTATTTGATACAGGTTTTAAAGTTTTAATATATGTTTTAAAAAAATTATAAATTTTAAGACTTTTTGATAAATTATTAGCCTTTAATTTTAAAAAGATATATATAATTTTTAATTTTGTGTCTAATAATTCAGTCAATTATTCAATTTATTCCGTTAATATTATGTTGAATACGTGACCACCTCAATGAAATACTAATTATTTTATTAAAATATGGAAATTTTTTAATTTCAATTCCATAAAACAATACTAATAATTTTGCTTTAATTTTCTCTTCACTAATTTTTTCTAAACCCACATGTGCTAATTATTATTTTTATTTAAAAGAATAAAATGAAAATATATATATATAATTTTGTTGTAGGCGGTGGGCCCCACAACTGGTTTTAATATGATATATAATTGAAGGAAGGTGAGAAATCAACGTCCAATGGCAGAGAACAAACTGGGACAGCCGTTAACAGGTTGATTCTGAACCCTTTGCAGTCTGAGCCTTCAGAAGAGAATATAAACATACATGCTTCCTTCCCTTGTGTACATATATACATATATACATATATATATATATGTATCTATGATTATATAAACAATATAATTATACAAAATATTTCCGAACTTTAGGTTATATTTTAATTATATCTTTGGACTTTTAAAAAAAATTATTTTTATCTAAGTTTTCTTAAAATTAAATTATGGAATTGGCGTAGAAATATATAATTAAAATCATTTAGATAATCATGATAAACAAACACAACTCTCTATAATAGTATGATATTGTCTACTTCAAGCCTAAACTCTTATGGCTTTGCTTTGCTTTGGGCTTCCCACAAGGTTTCATACCAATAGAGAGAGTATTCATGGATTATAAACCCACGATCATTTCCTAAATTAGCTGATGTGGGACTTTCATCATCCAACAAATCAATTTTTACACATCAGCTGTCATATCAGTTTACGTGAATGATATAAAACGAAACAGTTCAATTTTTGCATTGTTCAGACGAGAAAAAAGGAATTATCGTGAACTCTTTTACGATTAGTTATTCTGATATAAAACGAAGCAGCTCAATCATTAGATGAACGAACACGACTTACGTGTGTGAAAAAATACAATAATCTATGAAAAGAAATGACTCGTAAAAGCTATTTGTACTATTTACTCGAACATCGGTGTGCATGCATGAATGCATGAATGCATGCATGCATAGGTATGTATGATATCAGCCTTCTTTTGTGGCCCCCTTTCTTCATTTGTACTACAGTTTATGGTAGCCATTGGCATTGTCACTATTGATTTGTATACGTACATGTGACTATGTGAAGGCTCCTTTTTGCAATGTTAAAGATTAAAAGAAATTCTAATATTTTACAATTTTTCGGGATTTTCTTTTCGTGTCGAACTCATCCTACGTGGATTGCGTAATGGGAGAGTGACGGGAAATTAATTTGTTGGTTCTCTAAATTTATACGAGCACGAGATAATTGTGACGCTTGAGTAAATGAGAGAGACGTAAATAAACCGATATCACATCTAAATGATATTAGTTTAAAGGATGATTATAAAAGTTAGGTGACTTTCTAAGATTATTCTTTTCTGACTCTCGAGAATCTAGCTTTCTCGAAGAAGAAATGAGAAGTCGATCTCGACCAGAAGATGAGAACTCGTTTTTTTACAACACTGCCTCTCGAAGGTCTATTACAGCTCTTTTAGACTTGCTCATGACTAGATCAATTGGTTTTGTTAACACGGGAGTCTCGGGAAAATAACGAAATGTGTCGTGGTAATATAATGAGAAGACGCTTTATCGTATAAAAAGAATAGATCCAACGATCGGGCATCTGAACTCCGACCTTTATGGTCAAAGATGGAGGAATAGCATAATATATATATACAGTTTAATAGTACAAAGTTTTTTATTACATAAATAAACTGAAACAAGAAAAATGGGATTTTTGTGTCTTGCTTTATCCAAGTTAAAAGGTTAAAAAAGGAAGAAGATAAAAAAGAAAATGGGGACAAAAAGTGCTGAATAAAGCAGTAAAAATTTAAGGTTTTTTATTATTTTTTTAATTTTTAAATATATAAAAATGTTTCAGAGGGTGTATTTGTTTGCTTTTTTACAGTGTGCCCATATTTTTGTCTGCCAAAACTTTGCTATGTGGTCCCTAGGAAATTACCTTTTTACTATTTCATTTCAATTAAAAAAATATGCAAAAACCCAAAAATTAAATTTAAATATTAGTAACTATTTAATTTCAAGATTCTAATTCTTACCCATTCCCCAATATATTCTTTTTCTTTTCCCTTATTTTTGTTATTGTTTGTTGGGACCAAAAATGTGAATATTTTTTGGTTTCTTTATTAAGCTATGATCTTTCAAGTTAGGTCATTTCACATCTTATATTTATATTATATTTCTATAAGAAAATAGTGAGTATTCTAATAACTACTACATTTATTAAAAAATTTAATTAAAATATTAAAATATTGTATCGATATCATACGTCGTCATTAGTAGAGATATGTAATTAGTGACCAACTTAACATTCCCGAGTTGTGAAGGTATAATTAAATAATATTAGAAAAATAACGATATATAATTAGAGATAATCATTGAACTAGAGGGGAATGGCTCCGAGTAAGGTGAGGGAGTATGTTGAAGAAATGTGTGCACCTGGCTCTTATTAGCTATCCGTCATAAGAACCGCACGTGTGCGAGTTACTCTACATACGACTCAAGTGGCAAAGACCCTTTTGGATGGCTCCTACTAGCTCTCCCTCGTGAGAACCGCACGTGTGTGAGTTACTCCCCATACAGCTCAAGTGGCAAAGACCCTTTTGGATGGCTCCTACTAGCTCTCCCTTGTAAGAACCGCATGTGTGCGAGTTACTCCGACTCAAGTGACAAAGACCCTTTCTTTGCTTTAGCCAAGCTTTGATTGTCAATGTTCGTCACTTGTGTGTGCGTGTGGGGAATAGAATGACTCCTACTAGCTTTTCCTTGTAAGAACCGCATGTGTGCAAGGTACTCCACATATGGCTCAAGTGGCAAAAACACTTTAAGATGGCTCCTACTAGATCTCCGAACCGCACGTGTGCGAGTTATTCTACATACAGCTCAAGTGGCAAAGACCCTTTCTTTGCTTTAGCCAAACTTACTGCTAGCGTATCTAGAACTGATTGAATTTATTAGGGTGTTTGATATATTTTTTAATATAAATTATTCATTAAAAATATTATTTGAAATTAATAATTATATATATATATAAAAGAATGAGAAAAAAATTACTGGACTGAGAGTGATTGGGCCAGAGAGAGTGGTCTGGGCCTGACCTTTGGATATGGGCTTGGAAAATGAGGGTGGGCCTTTCTATTAATTCTGGATTTTATTTCCGTAACGTTTTAAATAGATTATATATGCAGTAAATAATTAAAAATATTCATATAATTTTAAAATTACTATCAACCCTTTGACCTTTTTGAAAAAATTATTATTTTTTTTTATGGGCAATATATGGTTGACAGAAATAGTCTATTTACACCTCCAAAATCATTTTCAAACTTTTCATTTTTGTTCTACAAGTTTTAAGGGCATTAAACCCTACCACACGTCATAAATTATGTCTATTTTTTTTTTAAAAAATTTAAGGATTTTAAAGTAGTACTAACTGTTTGGTACTGTGATGTCTCAGCTGTGGGAAGAGAACAAAACACCATTTATAAGGCTGTGGAAACCTTCCTGTAGTAGACACATTTTAAAGTCTTGGCGAAGCTCGAAAGGGAAAGCCTAAAGAGGACAATATCTGCTAGCGGTGAATCTGGGGCGTTACAAATGGTATTGGAGCCAGACATCGGAAGATGTGCCAGCCTTCTCGCCTTTACCTGAAGGGGTAGACACGATGCGATGTGCCAATAAAGACGTTGGGTTGGAAAAAGAAACGAGTGCTCTAAGGTGGATTGAGTGAAACTTCGCCTCCCCTGCAAAGTCGAAGGGGGTGGATTGTCACCATTTATGGGGAAGCGGAAAGATGACAAAATTTAAATGAAATGGAAGGGTATTTTTTATTTTTTTTTAATAAGTTTAAAGATAATTTTGAAAAATATTTTTTTGTTATTTTAAATATTAATAAATCTTTTAAAATTTAAAACTATTTTTGACCGGTAAATAAATAAAGGCGTGAACAAACATTGAGCTGCTTCATCTTTAGACTAAGTGGTTCCATTTGCAGCAACCCAAGTGGGCCAAAGCTTTGACACAATCTGCCTTGAGTGAAACTTCGCCTCCCCTGTTCATCGGAGCTTGCGCTCTGATTTACGAATGTCAACCCACTGATTTTCTTCTTCGACTCGTTTGAACTCACCGATCTTCCGTTCCGCTCTCTCCTCACCATGAAGAACGCTTCCGTCAAAGGCCTTGAAGTTTTCGATTTCACCGAAGAAGACGAGCTTCCCGAATTGATCTCCGAGAAGCGTCTGAGCAAATTCAAAAACCCTAATCTCGACACTAACGCTGTTTTGAAGTATGAATTTCTGGAATGTGGTAGGTTCTCCTGAACTGGAAACTATTTCATTTTCGTTTTTTTATTTCTCTGCAAATACCTGTAGAAGATAGTTGGACGCGAATTCTTAATTTTGAATGAAAACAGAGTTTCGCTTCTCTGGCATAGATGATGTAGGGAGTTGTCTGGAGTTATGTATAGAGAAAGTTGAGCGCTGTGTTGATTCCGTTAGTTCTTTGCCCTAGGGAGATCGTGGAGCAGTCCATAGAATGTTAAACTGTTCTTTGTTGTCGATTTTTGGCAAATACAGACGAATTTGAAACCTATTGAATGGTAACCCAGCGAATTGAACTAATATTTCTGTCGACATGTTAATCTGTCTGTGAGTGTTTCACTACGTGGTATTATCGCTGATTGCTGTAAAGCGTTTACTTCCAATAGGGAATTAAATTGATATGTGGTCACTAAAGTGCATTTTTATCCCTTCACTCCGCGGCTAACTTGTACGCTATCAAAAGAGGTAGCTAGTAATGACTTCGATTCCTCTGGAGGTTCGGCGTCTGAAGAGGATTTCTGGAACAATATTTTTTCATCAAAGAAAAAAACTTATCGAAGGGCAATGTCGGTGTTATAAATTAGGGAAGATTGATATGGTAATTATTTTCCGCATATGTTTAAATATATCATGTATCTTGCATTCTTAATAGCTGAAAGAAAAACATATATTATTGTGATGTTTATATATGCTGTTGTGCTTTTTATTCAGTTCTCACTGTGGCTTGTCTTTGTCTAAGTATCATTCTAGAATTGCTTTCTTTTTGTGTCTTTTCTTTGATGAATGTCCGTTCAACAATGCTATTCCAGAGCAGTAATTCATTTTTGGCTACCTTCAATATTTTCTCTCTGTTGATGGTCATTCATTTTATTTGATGAAGATAAATTAACTGTGGCCAATGGGTTTGTTGTTGAAGGGAAGGAGATTAAAAATCCACATATGGATGTTGATTTGGGCAAATGTAATCGTGGTTGTGACAATGGTATTTCACATATTCCCTCGGGCACAACTAAAGAGCAATTTATCATGGAAGAAGGGAAATATCAATTGGATGCCAATACAGAATCAGAATTGAATAGCCATTCGCAAGATCTGTTTGTGCAAGTAGATGGTCATGTGACAGGAAGCCTTGGCTCTGAACTTGACAAAATTGGATCTAGCTCTCAAAGTCCTATCCTGGGGTTAAATTGCACCCTTCCTGAGTTTAATGCTGAAGTACTCTTCTTTCTGCTTTCTGGACATTGTTTTCTTTTAAGATATAGATGAGTATTAGTCATGTTCGATTAACACTTTTTTGCAATTTATAGAGGGAGCCAATTGATGCACTCTCAGATCCTAATGGAAGCATGAATGGGAATTCTTCAATGAGCCCTCCTTCAGAAACTGTAGAGGATGGTGGTATGTTCTGTATACTGTATTTGCTTCAACATTCTTTTGGTTGTTCTTTCCCAGATAGGAATTGCATCAATAAGAAAGATTATGAAAGGGGACTGATGGTAAGAAAGAAGGAAAAAATGAAAGAATGAAAGAAAGAAAAAAACCCTCCAATCAACTGAATTGAACAGTAAGAACACGTTTCTAATAGCTTTGTTAGTAGACACCAAGGTCTTGACACCTTGCCACTCTCCTTCCGCTTATTACAAGAAGTTTCAATTTTTTTCTCTGTTCAAATCTTTGTACGAATGGTCATTACTCAGTTCAACCAGAAAAAGGAATTTGAAAAAACCTATATTTACTCCAATTTGAAAACCTGGATAACAGATCTTCCATCGACCTGGTTACCAGCCGGCTGCAAATATATTTTTCCTAGTATTTGCTTAATATATAACTTGCAAGAGTTGCACTGAATAAAACCTGTTCTCAAAAGAACTCTCTCATAACTTACTCAAATTCAATGTCTGACCATATGTTTTTGGACTCATTTCAGTTTTGTTGAACGGGAAGTATTTAGATAATTGCTCATCCGACAATGAAATGGTAAGTTTGTTCCTTGTGATGATTTAAACAAAGAGAAAAAGTTCACGCACACGTCTTAAATTTTTCCTGAAACTTACATCCAATTTTTCATGTGTTTGCTGGGAATCCAGGACTTTTTAATTATTAACTGTCTGTGACAAGTGTAGATTGTCAAGATGTTCATGTTGTTTGTACATACCACGAATTTTTCATTATTGTTCCATGTCAAGTTTTTTTTTTTTTTTTTTTTTTAATCTTGAAGGAGACTATAGTTTCCTCTTATTCTCGAAGTGTGTTTGAAGGGAAAAACACTCGTTAGGTTAGGAAGAAAGAATTGAATTAGTGAAACATTATGCATCTTCTTGTATTCTGGAGTGTTTTTAGTTACTTTTGTAATAATAATTCCGATATGTCTAACTTTACCTTTTTTTGGGTAATAAAACTGTTTACAACTTAGGATGTAGCGTTGATTACTTCAGCAGAACATGTTTCTTGTTTTTTCTTTTCTTTGAAGATAGGCAGATTCTAGTCATCCAATTTCATTGTCCAGAATATACGCATTTGGGTACTGAAGCTTTTCTCCGTTCAATTTATAGGATGATCTTAACAAGGAGGTTGTCCTATATCCCGATTATATTGTATATGGAGATTTTTACTGTGCCAGTCCCTCGTTAACCTTTTCACCTAATGCCATCAAAATTAATGGTTTTGCTGATTATGGAAGCAATGAATTCCTTAACCTTGAATGGAGAGTAGACGATCTCATTGATATTGAGTGTCAGTGCTTTCAAAGAGTGAGTGCTTATAACTATTGTTTAGAAACTAAATTTCATGATATTTGAGTTAACTTTGTCGTGATTTGCCAGTTTTTCGTTTGGCATGCAGGTTGAATATGTGATGATCAAGCTCCATGTTATATCAAAGGATGCTGGTCAATGTGATAATTCGTGTGACACTTCTGGTCAGTGGACTTTTGCAAAAGTACATCGAGATTTTGGAATTAGATTTCAGTTGCATAAACATTTGATAGAATTTCAATTATATCTTTGCTAACATTTGCATTCTTCTAGACATCCTCATTGGTTTTTTCTTGTGTCATGTCATCAGTGTTCTTAATAATGTGATAAATATCTTTCGTTTTGTTAGCTTAACTAATATGTATTGCCTATGAACTTGGTCCAGGCATTAAGGAAGTAAAGATTGTTCTTGTTGATTCTTACTGGTCTGAGAAACAACAAAAAATCAGATCTTTGGATTCCAGATACATGGCTATTTGGAATATGTCTCTCGAGTATGTTATCTGTGTTTCCTTATCACTATATTGTTGATCATTATGCAATTTTTTAAAATAGAAGTTATAAACTTGGCATCACGTCAATACATAAGTTTATGCGGTATATTCTAAAGAAGTATCACAGTTTACATTCTTCATTTTATGGTTGAGACGGCTATCCGAAATATGTCTCTCAGGTAACATGCATGACTGGTTGCATTCTCCAATAAACTTTGTTGTCATTCCCTTTGACGTATATTGGTCTCCCTTGTTCATTGATTTATTGCCTACCTCTATTATGTCTTGTAGTGCGGGCATAGGAACTGATGATGATGATTTAGGTGGACAAAGACATTATTTTCCCAAGTGAGTGGAATTTTCTACTTTTCCGTTTTTTAAAGCTAGTCTTCATATTTTAATACATTTGGTTAGTTTATTTGGAATTTTATTTGTATCTACTCAAACTAATGTTTTTTTAGTTTTGAGTAAAAAATTCTCATGTTTACTATGCTATGAGATTTGAAATGTCATGCATGCGGATCAATCTTTGTTCACCTTCTATTTGTAATTGTAAAGTATGCTCTATTTTATTCGATGATCAATGCATGAACTTGAGTATATTATCTGGTGGTGACCATCTTTTTTCCCCTTCCAATTTAAATGAGCCTTTTTGCAGCTTTGATGAGCCTTTTGAAGAAGTTGTCTATCCCAAAGGAGATCCAGATGCCGTTTCCATCAGTAAAAGGGATGTTGACTTGTTACAACCAGAGACATTTGTCAATGACACAATCATTGACTTTTACATCCAGTGAGTCAAATTATATAGTGATTGCTTGTAATCATGATTGAATACTGTTACTATTAGAGGTTTCCCCCCTGTACATTCTCCTAGTGATGTTGGGATTTCCAGCTTCTCATTTAAAGAAGTGCTGATCCACAATTCCTTTAATTTTCACCATTACCTTGCTTGGATGACTGGTTTTCATTTTAACTAACTTTTATGCAAATGATGGAACACGCCATTTCTTAATGGAATTGATTGTCAGGTATTTGAAGAGCCAGATAGATCCTCAGGATAAGCATAGATTTCACTTCTTCAATAGCTTTTTCTTTAGGAAGCTGGCAGACCTTGATAAAGATCCATCTAGTGCTTCAGATGGCAGAGCTGCTTTTCTACGCGTTCGGAAATGGACACGGAAAGTGGATTTATTTGAAAAGGATTATATCTTCATTCCTATAAACTTCAAGTAAGATTTTTCTCTTCAGGAATCATTTTGCCTTGTGTCTTAAGCTAAACATCACTAGATGTGGGTATCTTTTTCGAACTTAAATGTTTTTGTAACAGCCTTCATTGGAGCTTAATGGTCATATGCCATCTTGGTGAAGTGGCTAGATATAGCGGTAAGTTCTTCATTCATTGGGGCAATATGTGTCTCCCATCAGTCATAACTTCTGTCTTGTTACAGATGAAGACCTGACGAAGTCAATGAAAGTACCGTGTATATTGCATATGGATTCTATTAAAGGAAGTCACGCAGGTCTTAAAAATCTCATCCAAAGGTATTCCTTTGTTTTTTGTGGTTTTCATAAAGTTCAATGTATTGTTTTGAACAGCGTATCTAAGCTATCTGAACGAAGGTGAATCTTTGCTTTCATGGTTAGTTTGGCAGCCTTGATAATTAGTCTCTTCTTTACCGAGAAGTTTGATGGAGACTTCAGACATGTTTTCAGTACTTGCCTTCATTTGCAATATTGCAACTGATCTCTTTTCATCTTCTGATTAGTAACTTTTTTGTTGGCCTTTTTTTAAAAAAAAACTTTGGCTGTTGTAATACAATTTTTCTTGTTGCTTTATTACTTTTTTTTGGGTTAAATTACTAGTTTAATCCTTGAACTAAACTTTTAAAACCGTCTAATAGATCCTAAATTTTCAATTTTGTATCTCATGAATCACTAAAAAGTTTGAGGATTTGAAAAATTAATTGATTTTTTATACACAAATTTAAATTTGATGGATAATAAAATCATAAACTTTTAGTTTTGTGTCTAGTAGATTTGTGAATTTAAAAAAATTCATAAGCTCAAAGTCTAAATTTGTAATTTTGATAGATTAGAGTCCACATAGACACAAACATCAAAGTTTAGGACTAAATATTTTATTAATTTTTTTGTTGTTATTTTAGTAGTATAGTTTTGTATCTTGGGATTCGTGGAACCTCTCTTTGCTAGTGAAGGGGACACCTTGTCCCTTAGGTTGTTAGAGTTGGTTTTTTTTGGAATGAAGTGGTTGTCACTTTTATAAAGAAAAATGTAACATAATTTTGAATCGGAGGAGGATTTGTCTTTACAAAGTGTATCAGGAGAGACTTTGCGTTGCAGTGTTGTTTTAGCTTGGTTATGTATGCAGTTGATTTTTGTTCTCTCTTATTCTTTTACTAAAGCCAAAATTTATTGAAGAGGAAAAATTAGAGTAGAACTTTGTCACCTAGCTTCGTTTCTCTGTAAAGCAAGGAAAACCTTGATCATCTTTTCCTTCCTGCTCCTTCGCAGAAATGTCTATTCTCTTTTGCTAGATAACCATTTACCCGCTTTTACACAAAACCATGACGACTCTAGAGCAACTTTCTTCTTGGTCAACCATTCAAAAGAAAAGGAAGAGTCCTATGAGACAGTCTTTGTAAAGGAAATGTGTCGGAGTGTGGTCGCAAAGACACTTTGGAGTATTTATTATTACTTTTTTTTTTAATAAGAAACTGAAATATATTGATTGAAGAGGCATATACAAGAGAAGGGAAATGAGATATCCCCATGAAGCCAAGGGGTTGCAAAACAACCTCTCCTTTGGCATGGATGTGAATTAAAACATAATTAGAAGGAAATTGTGACTGACATCGTGGTGGCAAATTAGGTTCCATAAACTAGCAGTAATAGATTCCGACCCCTAAAGAATTCTGTGATTCCTATCTGACCGGACACACCACAGTACTGAGCTAACTGCATTAGTCCAAAGAACTTTAGAACGGCCCTTAAAACTGGTACCAATACAAAGCTGGTTGACTAAGCAAACAGGAGGCCTAGGAAAGCATCAGCTCAACCAACAACTGAGAGATGATTAGTCAACAATCATAAGCTATAGAGCAGTGGACGAAAATGTGAGTCTGGCTTTCTGAGTCCGATTTGCAGAGAACACTCCAATCAGAGGAGATGAAGAAACTTGAAAGTCTTCTTTGAAGCTCATTTGTGTTAAGCTTGCCTTGGATAAGGTTCCTGTTAGGAACTCAGAAATTATGTGAAAATACCAAGGATAACTATACTGCAATATCCAAATAAATTACAACATAAAGAAGTAATTCTCGAGGTATTTGCACACTTCCTCTTGATCACTATCAAGTAATGCACAACTCTCTCCCTCCTCACTCCATCTATTATAACCAATCTCCATAACCACCTCCTCTTTAATTACTAATATATCCTCAATATCCTAATAGCATTTCTAACAGATTCATAAGAACACTTTTTAACTTTTTGGGGGATTTTGACTTCCCTTAACACTGTATTCAGATCAAGGTTGAAGATTTTATGTTTCTGAAAGTGCAATAATGGTTGAGCTGACTGAAAAACCCCATTTTTCAATCGTGACTGAACCTTGATATCCTCCAGGTGATTCAGTCTCATTTTGTTCAAAGCTTGAAGCAAAAAATGCCAATTCATTTGCTTCCTTATCAGTGAGATTCCAACATTGATAGCCTTTGGAGGAGCCACTCTGTTGAGTCTAGGGAGTGTTTCCACATCATGAGTCATCCCAAGCAAACACGTTAAATCTTTTAGTTGAAATCTTATCCTTGTATGCATTCCTCTGTCTCTGTTACGAAGGTAGTTTGCTCTCTCATAAAAAAGGTTTTATAGTAATTTGCTGATACTGTCTTTTGGCCGTTTCTACTTTTTGCATTTTGTTTCCATTATGGATTATAAAATTAGCTGCCTCCAATTATTAATTTGAACTTATCTGCATTTATAGTATTGATTTTTTTTTTTTGCTAGTTCTTTGTTAATCACTGGGACTTCATGATGCAATGTATGACAGTTATTTGCTGGAAGAATGGAAAGAGAGAAACAAGGAGACACCTGAAGATATTTCAACAAAATTTAAGAACCTTCGGTTTCTCCCACTCGAGGTATTTTCTGGTAATTAACTTCATTATATCGAAACAAGCGCACAAAAAAGGAGTCCACTTATCGACTATAAAAGGGACTTCAATCGAAAATATCAAACCAAGATCACAATTACAAAAAGGTCAAATAACAGACGCCCATGAAAACACATTAAACCTTGCGACCTCCCGAACCTCCTCCCGTGATCTCTCAACTTCTCTAGAAGTTTTACTATTTCTCTCCAATTCAAATTTCCCATGACTACAATAATAGCGCCACTAATCTGTCCTTATTCCGAAACGGGGAATTATGGTGCACTTCCTCAATCATAGCACCACTAATCCTGCCTCGAGTCAAATGGAACCCAAACAAACTCAACTGGTTCCTTTATTGCTAACACATCATGTTTGATATTGTTGTCCTACGTTCATTTCTCTTTATCTTTCCTTTTTTGGGGGGCTGTCTTACATGTCCTACATTTTTCATGTCAGCTTCCGCAGCAGGAAAATTCATTTGATTGCGGATTATTTTTGCTCCACTATCTAGAACTTTTTCTGGCAGAAGCACCTCTTAGTTTCAGCCCGTTCAAAATCTTCAAGCTTTCAAAATTTGTAAGTTTTTTCGCTTTGCTTGCACCCTTAGTTTCTTTTTTTTTTTTTTTTTTTTTTTTTT